CATTACTATATATATATATATATATATACTACTACTACTACTAAAAATTAAGTTCCCGACATTATGAAAGGGTGAAATTAATAATTATTTCACTCATCACACCTTTTTATTTACTTATTTTATTTTGAGTTGAAAAATGAAAGAATTAAAGGAATTACTAGAGATACACAAACAAGTATCAAGTAATTCACTGTCAACAGCACAATTTTCTGAGATTCTCTTACTTCTAGGTGTTACGTATTGCGAATTTGAAATAGTCTGAAACCGATATTTTAGTTAATTTACCTTATTTGTCAACAAGATTGACACACGCCGTTTTCGTTTTTCACACAAATACGTTTTAATATATATATACAACAGTATAATTTATAACAACAATTATTACGAATAGTTACTACAAACAATGATTTATAAATAGAAGTTTCACAAACTTACAAACAATATAAAGTTTTCTTTCTAGTCTGGAACCTCCTTGATATCTTATTGAGGGTTCACAATGAGCGAGTTAATTATGAGTTGATGTAGATACGATCCGCTGGGAAGCTAGCTAGCTTTGTCCTTGGCCACACACACTAGGTTTTCCACGATGAATTTATATGTCTTCGTAAAATTACTAACGTCTGATGAGAATCCACTGAAGTTATTTGTAACGTTCGAAATTTATAAATATTCCTGATCAGATATCTTAAGTTTTCCGACTGCTAAACATTATAACAATCACAGTTACAGCTTTCGAAGTTTTATAGCACATCAATATATAGCGAACTAATAATAGACATTCTCCTTGGCACGTCGCGTTGGTTATATTTATAGCTTTGGAAAGGTTTTCTAGAAAATTCAGTCTTACGTAACAATACTGGTTAAAGCGTTTACGTATATAGATATATTGTTGGTTCTTACTCTCGAGAATCTTCTACAACTTTGGAGAATAGGCAGGAGTTTTGCAGTACCTATCTAATAGTACAAGCTATGTATGTTTCTAAATATAAACTTAATTTAAACAATGTTTGTATTGAAATAAATACATAACACAAATTCGTTACATACATAATAAACATAATCAACAATATAAATTATAATTTGAAGTAGGCTTATAGTACACACTCGTTTTCTCTGCACAACTTAGCAGTCACAAATTCTTAGCATTGTACTTTTAGGTGCATTGATTTCCCTTAATAGTAATCTGATAACTAATAGAGGTTCAACAGAAAATTCATCATGGAGTAAATCTGAATTTTCTGACTTTGAATGAGCTTGAAGATTGATAGAGACCAGAGACAGTGAAAAGTTTTCATTCAACCATTTAAACTTTCAAAATTGGGAAGTATATAAGGTAAAAAATGGTACCTTTACCAAATCTTTAACTCTCCAAGTTGGCATAAGAACTAGTAAACTTTATTTATCAAACATTGAAGATAATTTTACTAGTTAAACAAAGGAATATAACTTTACTTGCCAGTCTGAGGATTTGAGTTTGAGAAAGAGAGAGCTAGCTGAGCGAGCATAGCATTATATAATAAATTCTATAATACTATCCCTCTCAGAGAATATATGCTACCTATGTTACTGTTGGCCATTCCAATAAACAATAAAGGGATGATGTAATCTCAATGTAACACCTGACCTGCCAGTGGAAAATATTTCTGTCAACTTTTACATAGCTTGTTCAACTTTTCAGAAATCTTTCTCATGAGAAGGTACAAATGATACTGTTATAATGTTTTTATTGTTGGGTGGTTTTTTATTACGTAAAATAATGCAAAGCCAGTCCATTTAATGATAAAGAAAAAGCTATTTATTTCTTCGAATACAATATACAAGTTCCATGGGCAACATCCATTGACAAGCCAACACACAAATAAAACAAATGTAATTTTCTTGTTAAATTTCTTCTTGTGTCTACGATACGACTGAAAATGGGTGATTAACATACTCAG